TTTTTTTTTTTTTGAGGAACCAGGGATTGAACTCAGGCCCTTGCACTTGCCAGGGAAGTGCTTATTCCACTGAGCCATCTCCCTGGCCCCTATGTTAGAGATCTTATACATAAATTTCATAAAATGTTCTTGGAATCAGTGAAGCAAAATGTTATACTGTACAGCCAGTTGACTGAGATAATTTTTGAAAGAAAGGATGCGTCTCACCTGTCCTGGCTCTGTGTCTCCACTGAGCACCATTCTGTCTCTTCTTCCCACTAACCTTTCACTCACTTCTTCCCTGGGCAACACATTATCCTCCTGGATGAATTTCTGCAGGCCTTATTTTCTTGCCCTGTCCTACATCTTCATTCTTTTCCTGAATTTTCCCTTAAGTTTCAGATAATTATTTGGTTCCCTTTCTCCAAACATATGCCTCACCATTTACTGCTTCCCAGACACTCAAAGCCAGCATAGTCTAACCTGAACTTCATGCTATTCCTGTACAGCTGTCTTCCTTCTTTAGTATCAAGTAGATTAGGTTCAGCTATGTCTTTGAACTTACATATTAGCACCTTTCTCCACGAAATTGTTCATTGACCTTTAAACATGTTCGATTTAGTTATTACTTTTATTTATTTTTAACTGTACACTCAGCTGAAAAATTCTGAATTGTGTTCAATGTAGTTTAGTACTGTAAGACAGTGGAACAATCTGTATGTAACCAGGACTTTTCTCAGCTTCTGTTAAGTATAACAGAAGATAAGAATGTGTATATTTATAATATAATACTTGATGTTTTGATATAATTGTATATTGTGAAGTAATCGTCACAACCAAGCTAATTCATATATCATTTCACAGAGCTACCAGTTATTTCAAATTTTTTAAATATAAAATTTAGTCATACCGTCTTTCCTGCTGGATCACACAGATAACACACGAGCACACCTATTATCGTGACAGCCAATTTCTACGTGGCCTTCTGCTCTCCTGTGACTGGTCTTAGCTCATTCTCTAGGTACCTGGATTTATGCAGGTTTTTTTTTTTTTTTTTTTTTTTTTACAGAATATTTACTCCCCGCTTAACCAATTCTGTCTAGCTCTTGGATGACAAATCTCCTCCTCTTCTTCACAAGGAAGTTGACCCTCAATTTCTGGAGTAGGAGGGCTTCCTCTTTACTAGATATGTTTCTGGGGTTTCTTTAACAGTCTCATGTTTACACTTTCTGGGACAGAGATTCTACCTTCGTGTAGGCTCTTCCCCTCACCAGGAATGATCTGTAGGGTGAGGCCGGCCTTCCTTCCTCTCATCACCGCTGCATTCAGATCATCAAGCGCAGGCATTAGCAGGGGGAAGTACCTTTTCAATTAGTATCTTTATCAATTAAATGCTGCAATTCCCTGTCCAAAGCCTTGGTTAACATTTATTCATCTTGTAGAATTCACCACCTGGTTGGCAACTGATATGAGCTCAATAGGTGCTAAATACATGAAATATAATCAGAGGTTACATGCACAAAGAATAAAATGTTCATATTATGAAAGCAATAGAAATCTGTGTACATAATTACAGAAGAAAAGGTTCTGTTTATTTATTAACAGTTTGTCTGGATTGCTTTAATTTTTGGAAGGAACTTAAGACAAAACATCGAAATTGGGTGAGTCTTCAATCACCTAATCTTTAATAAGAAACAAAACTCAAAAAACTCCAGAAATATAAATGACAAAAAATAAATATACATATATTTACATATAATTACACGCATATAAGTAATTAACATAAT